GTGTGGTACAGTATTGCTTGGTGAGCTTTGGGCATCCTTTCGGGGAATACGTACAGCATGCATTGCACAGGGTTTTTGTCCACTTGGTAGCCTAGCATGTCTGATACGATATGTATGGCTTGTGTCCAGAGAGGTGCGAGTGCGGGGCATGTCCACCAAACGTGGAACATCGTGCCCACTTCTTTCTCACAGCGCCAGCATATGTTTGTAGAGGTGGGCCATATTTTGTGTATTTTTTCTGGCACTAGGTATCAACGGTATAATAGTTTCCGTTGTATTTCTAGGTGTTGGGCGCATGATGTCAGGCCTTTGTGTGCTGAGTAAGCTTTTTTCCATTGTTCTGGGCTTAGCTCTATGCCTAGGTCTGTGTGCCATGCCTTTCGGTAGTTTTCTTGGATCAGTGGTTGGTTGTGTAAGATTAAGTGGTAGCATGAGGAGAGGGACTTGGCGTTGGGTTTGTTAGAAAGGCACATGTTTTCGAACTTAGATGTTAGTTCTTGCGGTACCTTCTCAGGGGTTCTGGGAGGGTTATGTTTTAGTAGGGACTTGACTTGCAGGTAGGGGAATAGGAGTTTCGCGGGTAGGTCAAATTGTTCCTGTAAGCTAGGGAAGGATTTGAGGTGCTCCCCATCGTACAGTTGTAGTACATGGGTGACGCCTTTCTCTATCCATGTCTTGTGGTTAAAGGTAGGAATCATCAGGCTTATGGATTGCATTGGGGTCGCCAACGGTATCTTTGGATAGGTAACTAAAGTGTTCCTTACCCCGTCCCATGTGTCTAACAGCAACCGAGTAGTGGGGAGGCCTTGGATCGATCTTGGTCTCCGAGCGCTATCAGTCCAGAAAGTATGACGTATGTGGTCTACGTTAAGCCAAAAGGCTTCTATTCCTGCCCACTGGGGTGTGTAATGGGGGTCATGTGCGGCTAACATGGTGCTTAGAATCGCTGCCTTGTAGTAATGGTATAGGTTGGGGATGCCCAGGCCACCGTCTGTGATCCTCCTCTGCAGGACCTTAGCGGCTACCCGGCTCTTTTTGTGTTGCCACGTAAATTTCAGAAATAATGCGGTGATCGACTTGAGGTAGGTGTTTGGTAGGGGTATTTGTAGTGTTCGAAAGAGGTATAGTAGTTTTGGGAGCAGTGACATTTTGAATGCTGCTATGCGCCCTAGCCATGAGAGGAACTTCCCCTCCCATGATTTGAGGGTGTTGTCGATGTCTGTTAAGAGTTTAATGTAGTTTGCATGAAAGAGATCTGTGGGTTTTTTCGTGAGTTTGAGTCCTAGATATGTTAAATAGTCCGACCTCCAGTCTAAGGGGAACGCCTCCTTCAGTCTGTTTCTCGCCTCTTTAGTCACTCCTATCGTTAACGCCTGTGTTTTGGAGACATTCAATTTATAATGGGAGTGGTGGCCAAAAAGTTCTATTTGTCGCATTAAGTTGGGCATGGATATGAATGGCTGGGTTAGGGTGAGGAGGATGTCATCTGCAAATATGTTTAGTTTGAATTCTTTATCTCCTAGAGGGATGCCATGGATGTTCGGGTCTGACCTGATTTTGGATGCCAGTGGCTCCAAAGCCAGTACATAAAGCATAGGGGAGAGGGGGCATCCCTGTCTGGAGCCATTAGAGATTTTTATGGTCCGTGACGGGAATCCTGCGTACAGAACTTGTGCCGACGGGTCGTTGTATAGTGCGTCTACCGCTGCCACGAACTTTGGGGGGAAGCCGAATCTGTGGAGTACCCTGTTTAAGAAGGTCCAGTTGAGTCTGTCGAAGGCCTTCTCCGCGTCTAGGGAGACGAATAGGCCCCCCCTTCCCAGTTTTCTAGCGCTATGCATTAAGTTTAGAACTTTGCGTGTATTATCTGAGCCCTGTCTACCCTTCACAAAACCCACTTGGTCGTCATGTATGATGTCCGGTAGGATAGTTTTTAGCCTATTGGCTTGTAATTTTGCGAAGATTTTGGCGTCTGTATTGAGTAGGGATATCGGTCGGAAATTTGGGCATGAGGTCGGGGATTTCCCTGGTTTGGGGAGGGTAGTGATATGCGCTCGTAACAGTTCCGATGGTAGTGAGTGGTTGTCTATGGCGCTGTTAAATAAAGTGGTCAGTGCAGGGGCCAGGACGTCCGCGTATTTGTGATAGTATGTGTTCGCAAACCCGTCAGGGCCTGGCGCTTTACCCGTTGGGAGATTTTTTATTGTGTCCCTTACTTCTTGTTGGGTGATAGGGGCTGAGAGAGCTTCTTTGTGCTGTTGTGAGAGGGTTGGCAAATGGGCATCTTGTAGGTAAATGTCCATCTGTGTGGAGGTTTTTAGGGGCGTTAGTGGGTCCTTCTTTAGGTTGTATAGGGTTTCGTAATACGTGGCAAATTCGTCGCAGATGTCTTTCGGGGCAACCAACTTGTTTCCGTGTGAGTCCTGTATGTGTGCTATTTTAGATGTTGCCTGTCTGTCTCTGAGCTTTTGGGCTAGTATTTTGCCCGCTCTGTTGCCCTGGGAGTAGTGAGTAGCTTTCAATTTCCGTAGTGAATAGCCCATTCTCGTAATTGCGAACGCCTGTATTTTGTCTTGTGTTTCTGAGATTTGGCTTTTTAACTCTGACGATGGGCTCGTTTGGTTTAGTTTGTTGAGGTCGTGTAGTTGTTTGTACCATGTGACCTGTTGTGCGTGGGACGTCCGTTTAAGGAAATGTGCTCTTTTGATCAGTTCCCCACGTATTACGGGTTTGTGGGCTAGCCAGGTGATCTCCGCCGAGATCTCTGGTGCGGTGTTTTCTTTAAAGTAGTGTTTAAGTGTGTTTTCTATGTGGTCTGCGAACGTTTTATCGTGTAAGAGTGTTTCGTTCAGCCGCCAGGGGCTTCTGTTGTGGCCCTCAAATTTGTCTTTTAGTTCCATAGTAATAGGTGCATGGTCTGACCACGTAATAGTCTCTATTGTGCATTTGAGTACCTGTGTTAGATGTTTTCCTTCCGTGAGGAACCTGTCAATTCGCGTGTAAGAGTTGTGGACCGAGGAGAAGAACGTGAAGTCTCTCTCCTCGGGGTGGAGGACTCTCCACGCGTCGTAGAGATTATGTTCGTCTAGTAGTCTCTGGTATGTGGTGCATTGTCTCCTGGCTGGGTTGTTCCCTTTCGTATTAGGACCTTTGGACAAGTCTAACCCAGGGTCTAGAATGTGGTTAAAGTCTCCACAGATTATTAGCATTCCCCTCTGGATCGGTGCTATTTTAGCCAGTGTTTTATGTAGGAAGTTGCGTTGTTCTGAGTTGGGTGTGTACACATTTGCTATGGTGTAGGTAATGTCATTGATTGTGCATACCAGTATGATGTATCGGCCTTCCTCGTCTATGACTAAGTCGTGTTCGGTGAATGCTACTCGGTTGCTGATTAGCACAGAGACCCCTTTCGTTTTGGATTTTGCTGTAGCGTGTTGTTGGTATGGGTATGCGAGGGGTTTAAGGAGATATGGTTTGGTGAGATGTGTCTCCTGGAGACATACTATGTCTGGTTGGGATTTTTGGAGGTCGTGAAGTAGAAGGTGGCGTTTGACAGGGGAATTTAGCCCCCTTACGTTGTGACTATATATCTTCATAAAGGGAGGGTCTGTGAGGGGTGCTATCTGTAACGTTGTCTTCGTTAGATTTGTGTTTTCCCCGGGTGCCCTTGTATGTCTTGGTACTTGAGTCTAGTGTGATGTGTATAGGCAGTGGTGCCGTGGAGTATATACTTGCTGTGTTGCTGAGTGGCTGCTCTGGCGGATCCGCGTGAGGCGCATCCGTGGCGGGTCGCGTTGTTCTCCGGGCTCTCTGTGTCTGTACTGGAACGGTATGGTTATGCAGGTACATATCCTTGGATTGTCTAGTGTGGTCTGGGTATGGGAGGGAGGATAAGAGGTTAATACAGGAAAATAGAAGAAGAGAAAACAGTGCGGTAAGGACCGCAGAGCCCAAGGTGGGCTGAGTACCCAGGTTGGGTACCATGGAGGTAGGCAACAACAAAAACATTAACAAATATCTTGTACGATTAGCCCTAACGCTTATCTCAATAGTTCTGCATACCACATGGAGATATAATTACTTCAAAAACACAAACAAAAACATTGTTTTTTTTTTGTTTTTTGTTTTTTGTCCCATTAACTTAGTTCCACGGGTCCCTGTCCGGGCTACTCTCAAATGAGAGGCCAATTGGTCTGTGCGTCCCCAATCTTCCCTTGGGTGAGTTGAGGGGATGGGTGACCCCCGTGGCAGCAATCTTTTTAAAGGGCCGCTGGCATTGAAGAGAGCGTGGGAGCAGTTAACCAAATGCTGTGTATATCTGAGGTTAACTATCTGTGGGTATTTTTTTTTATTTATTTTTTTTGTCATAACTATGAGTAAGTTTTAAGCTAGAGGTGTTATAGGGTGTGGGGTGAAAATACCAGGTGGGGAATTCCTCAATCAGGTGGCATCGCCATTCAGTCCTGTATCTGTACTCCTTAAAACTGGATATGGGCTGATGGAGTTCGGGTTACTTTTTCGCCTTCTTCCAGTCCTGTCTCAATCGCTGTGGTGAGGTTGTACGTCCGTGTTGTTTGCGAACTGGTAGGTCCCATTGTTTCAGGGCCCTCAGGCCTTCCTCCGGCGTTGTTACATGTGTAAAGGTGCCATTGCGCTGGATAATCAGGCGCACCGGGTGACCCCATCTGTATGGGATCTTGTTGTCCCGCAGCGTTTCCGTAGTCTCCTTGAACTCCCTTCGGCGTTGTAGGGTGGCTGCCGATAGGTCAGCATATATTTGTAGATGGCCATATTTAGCTGGAAGGTTTGTACGGTTCCTGGCAGCTTTGAGTATGGCCTCTTTGACATGATAATAATGTAGATGGGTCAGCGTGTCTCTCGCCGCCTCGGCTGGTAGAAACTTCGGTTTGGCTACTCGGTGCGCCCGGTCTAGCAGGATCATCTCAGTCGGTATTTCTGGTATGAGACATTTGAAAAAACCTGTCAGGAATTCAGGTATGTCAGCTTGCGTTATCGATTCCGGTATGCCCCCGTGACCTGTCCTCCAGATCTGAGAGTTTGAGCTGGGCTGAGGTGAGTTTCTGTTCCAGGGCTTTAACGTGGTCTGTCAGGTCGTTATGGGCCTCTTCATATTCGCCCATGCGGTTTTCCACGTGGGCCGTTCTTTCGCCCAGCTCCTGGATGTCCTTGCCCAATGCAGTGACTGATGCTTGAATTTTGTTGAGCAGTTTGTCGGACATTTCGTCCAGGCATGCTCTCAGGAACTCCTGTGTCACAGGGAGATTCCCAGGGTCTGGTGAGTTATGGAGGGGGAGGGTATCGTCTCCGCCGCCATCTTGGTCTGCCTCATGCTGGCCCTGGGCTCTGGAAGGCGCGGGTCTCGCCGTGAAGAAGCCCGATTTTTCAGCCCTGTCAGGGATTTTCTTACCCTTCTGCTGCGACATGCTTGTGGGGCGAGTGATGCCGGGTTTCGTTTCGAGGTATGCTGGGTTTAGTCGCTTCGTGGGCTAATCTAGGAGCGGAGCACTAGTGCCGTGCGGCCATCCGCTTCAGCGTGCAGGCCACGCCCCCCTATCTTTCCTATTATTTCAATGAACAGATATACTGTTTATTTTATAATGTCCAAATCCAGTAATAAAGATACTGATGTTAACTCTGGCAATTGTCTCCTACCTGACCTGCACAAAATCATGACACCCGCTCTGCGTAAGAGTGCTGGTTGTCACATGACTACCCAGCGCTCAGTCTGACACTGCGCCCGCCGGAGATCGAGAGGCCAACTCTCCTTACCTGCTATGTCAGGTAAGCAGCACGGAGGGGAGCCAACAGTGTGTATGGCAGAGCAGGTCCCAATAATATTAGACTTCACAATATACTATTTAAGTACCATTCATGATTAATTCCATTGGGGAACCTAGTTTTGAGTGTGAATATCCAATAAGCCTCTGTCTTTCTTAATAATTTCACAAAATCTCCTCCATTTGGGACAAGTCTACATTTTTTTAAAACCTTGAACATGCCCCTGTAACTTTCCAAATCACCATAAAACCTGTACTTGAGGGGTACTGTTGTACTCGTGAGACATTACTCTACACAAATATGAGTTTTAGAGCAGTAAAATGTATTAAACCCCTTTCACCATCTTTTGAAGTTGATGTATGCGCCATAGGCAAGCTTTACATGTATACATCCCTATGGAAGCTCTCACTTCTATTTTACATGTAATGACTCATGAAGCCTTCCTGGCTGCTAGCTTGATGGCTAGGGGGACATTCCTATTTTCTAAATACATTTATAAAAGTGCAGAATTTTGTTTAAATAAGCACTTTTATGGACTGGGAAATTTAGCAAATTACAATTCAGTCCAGGTGCATTAAGGACACATATTGATAAGGAGTAGGATGAATACAAAATATTATTTAATTTCTCCTCTTCTGTTTTGTTTTATGCGGACTGTCAGGTGAGAGCAAGAGTGCTTATAAAATTGGTTGACAAGCAGCCAAGATAAGGGTGCCGTGTTGCAGAATAACTAGGTGTGTATTTCAACATTTAATATTATTTTTTTTTAAATCTCACAGAAAACATATCTGTTAACTATAGAAGATGAGTTAACGTAATAATAAAATTCCTGGTATGGTCCATTTTCTTTCAGACTATTTTATGGTATCTACATTGTGAATTAACGTGAAACCATTTTTTCTGAATTTCATTTAGTTTGTAGCTCAAAGTTAACAGTCAATGTAAAGAAATGGTATTTCGTGACTTCTCCTGCACCTGTCATAGCAATTGTTTAAAAGTAGAGTATAGTTTTCATGATATTCAGACACTGTCCTGTACCAATGTCAACTTGTTCAAGTTTGGAATCTTTGCTTTTATCAATGCTCAACTCTAAAGTGTTCACTGATGGATGTAGAACGTTGCCATGGAAACTTCAATTCCATAACCAATTATTATGGCTAATATTTGATCAGATTGTCTGGTGCGCTCTGTTTGTAAAATGAAAATTTATATTTTATGTCACACGGCTACTGCAAGGAACATTATTGTTAACTTGGGTAAAATTCTGTATGGACATTTGTGATCAGAGGGATTGATCACTGTTTCTTTTACTTCTTGCTCTTGGAAGGATTGATTTTGCAACTTTATCAGGGATAGGCAACCTTTGACACTCCAGATGTTGTGAACCACATCCCTCATAATCCTCTTATACCCATAATGCCTGCAAAGCATCATGGAAGGTGTAGTCCAAAACATCTGGTGTGCCCAAGGTTACCTATGCCTGCTCTACATGATGGGCTTTGCAGGAGTAGTAATCTAGATTTTTAAATAAAAGAGAAATAATATCCAGAAAATTGTCTATTCATAAATCGTGGCAGCGTTACTCCAAGCACCATGACCACTTCAGCTTTGATGTTGTCATTGTGGAAGGAGCCTGCACATACAGAGATATTTAGCCGTCTCAGGTGTGACTCTACTTCAGCCAGTATCATCAGCCAGACTGAAATGAGAGCTTCATGTTGGCTTCTCTCAATTTCTGGCACATTCCTTGCATTGGTAAAAGCTCTCAGCTGAGCTCTCAGCTGATTCCTTCTGTCAATGAATCACCAGTTGTATCGGCTTTTACCTACTGCAAACCAGCCAGCATTACAGGATACTCGGCACCCACCAGGACCAAGAGGCAAACAACTGGAAAACAGTTGGGCACCTTACAGTGGAATACCGCTAGGTTATTCCTGGAATTATAACCACTAGAACAAGTTAATATGGTTCAGTGCAAAACCATAAAAACATAATAATCCGTTTTTCAAACTATTTTACAAGGGTTTTAAGGTTTTTTAAAAAAAAAATGTTTTAAAAAATACCTTTCCAAAGATTCCTTAAAATATGGGAACCTTGGGATAGTAGCGACCTGAGACAGGGCTGAGATGGCTACCCAATAGCTCAGACCACGTGATCCCCCCCCCCCCCACACACATAGCACCAACAGGTGCTTGTCATCTTAGACCAACAAATTCTTAATAGGTCCCACCTCTCACCCTCTTTCCCCTCTTTATCTTTCTTTTCACTTCTATCTCTCCCTGTTTTTGCTAGTCCAGTCCGGAAGGCAGGACTAGTGGATGATGTTATTACACCTGACATGGAAAATAACTGGTATACAATACGTGAGGCTTATGTCGTTACCCTCGGGAGGTGGCGGATGCCCCACCCCTACGCTATTGAAAGCTCATGGTTAAGTAAAGATATTACTACAAACGTAAGCACATGTCTGGTATACTGGTAACGTTATTCTTTCCCCAAAACCCCTTGACGATCGGCCAAATTGTAATTATTTGTGTAGACTATGTACTGCTCGAAGACAAGTTGTCCTTTGATTGTTCATTGACATAAGTTATGATATTGCACTATAACTGATATTCGCTCAAGCTATGTGGCCACTGCTATGTTCGCTGATTTTGTCAAGATGAAAAAATAAAGAATTTAAAAAAAATAAAAAAATACCTTTCATATACAAAATATAAGGATTTAGTTACAGTGTATAGATAAAATTTGTATACACCAGATCATCACCCAAATATAAGTTTGTTACACCTCTTATTCTGAAACCATGGAAATTAAAATAGAGTTAATCCTCTCTTCTGGGAAGATTTTAGAATTTGTGCCCATTGAGCCAAAATAGCATTTGTGAGGATGGACACTAATGTTGGAAAATTTTGTCTGGCCAGTTCATCCCAAAGGTGTTAGGATCGAAGTCAGGATTCTAGACTAGCCACTAGATTTTCTCCACACTAAGCACATCAAACCATGTCTTCATGAGCTCGCTTTATGTACAGGGGCACAGTCATGCTTGAACAAACTGTTTCCACAAAGTTAGAAGCACCACATTGTCTTTGCATTCTGTAGCAATAAGATGGCCTTTCACTGAAACAAAGGGACCTAGAACAAAACCTGAAAAATAACCCAGACCATTATCCTGTTAGTGTGTCATACACCACATCAAGATTCTTCCATCAGATTACAAATAGTACAGTGTGATTCATTACTCCAGAGATTAGTGATGACGTGATCTGTGGGTTTGCATGGTTTACTTGTGGGTGGGTTTTTGTTGGTCCTAGACACCTCTGCTTCATAATAATAATAACACTTAATATATATTGAACTCAGTGATTAGAAGGAGTGTCCATATACTTTTGGTCATATAGTGTAAATATACTACCCCTAATCTTGCTTTTGGGAGCATCCCACCCTCTACACACAGAACAGGTGCTCCAAATTAGATGCCCTGAAAAAAATGCTTAAATTGTACTTGTTTAGAGTAGACAGGCAGTGATGCCAGTAAGTAATGCAGATTGCAGTATATATTTCTTCCATGTTAAAATTTAGAAATGAAGGTTAGGACCCACAGGTATTGAGGAGTTCTGTAAAAAAAAAAAATGGTAATCCTAAACAAATTGTGTACATGGGTATTTTAAGAAAGCCTTGTAAAATCGTTTTAAAAATAATTAACATTGTGTGTGCATGCTGAGCCATATTGGTGTAGTAAGGATAGGTGCAGGTGTGCCAGAGGAAGTTAACTGCTAAATCAAACTGCTCTTGGTGTGAAATAGAGTACTTGCAGGGAGTTTGGTCAGACCAGTACCCCACATTAGCATGGGATATAGACGTGGTCGAGGGAGCTCTCCTTAGAGTATATAGCTGATCTCTGAGGTACTACTGGCATAGTATGCCTGGTTAGTGCTTTACTTAGTCCTGGTGGGACCTTTCAGAGTACTGTGCCAAAACAAGATCTTGAAGACTCTTGGCCTGCCGATCATATTTTTAAAAGCAAGGCATATACTTTGTCGTATTCTGTTTGTACTATTTATGGGTGCTACAGTTGCTTTGTAGCGTTGTATTTGGGTGTATGTGGGCTGTTACATTGTCTATGTTCATGAGTAGTTTGTGGTATTATGCATGATACCTATTAAAGGACCACTCTAGGCACCCAGACCACTTCAGCTTAATGAAGTGGTCTGGGTGCCAAGTCCAGCTAGGGTTAACCCATTTTTTCATAAAAATAGCAGTTTCAGAGAAACTGCTATGTTTATGAATGGGTTAAGCCTTCCCCTATTTCCTCTAGCGGCTGTCTCATTAACAGCCACTAGAGGCGCTTGTGTGCTTCTCACTGTGATTTTCACAGTGAGAGCACGCCAGCGTCCATAGGAAAGCATTATGAATGCTTTCCTATGTGACCTGTTGAATGCGCGCGCAGCTCTTGCCGCGCGTGCGCATTCAGCCGACGGGGAGGAGAAGAGGAGGATCGGAGGAGGAGAGCTCTCCGCCCAGTGCTGGAAAAAGGTAAGTTTTTACCCCTTTCCCCTTTCCAGAGCTGGGCGGGAGGGGGACCCTGAGGGTGGGGGCACCCTCAGGGCTCTATAGTGCCAGGAAAGCGAGTATGTTTTCCTGG